AGGAACTCTGTAAAAAATGGCTGTAATTCCTAAACGGTTAATGCAATATTTTTGTTAAACCCCTTGAATTAAAGCTGAAAGTCTACGCTTCAGTCACATCTTGACTGCTTCATTTCAAATCCACTGTGGTGGTGTACAGAGGCAAAATTACCAAAACTGTGTCACTGTCCCAATATTTATGGACCTGACTGTATCATTAGCTTCTATGTAAAACACTATCTTTGAAAATCTATGCTATCTATGCTGAATCTATGCTGAAAATCTATGCAAACCTGTTAGACACATTAAGCGGAGAGGGGTGGTGCTCCTGTGGGTGAGCCATAGTGTTAACTTTGGCTTTGCGATTATGCTGTCGAGTTGGCACCCATTCACCCCGCTCTGAGGGCTCTGATGTTGGGGGATTGCTAAGGCAGCCTAAGGCATCCAGACTTTCCCCTACAGAAACTACGCTGCTCTCACTCTCGCTAACCCTCTCTAGAGGCTGGATGCGTACCTCTAATGCTGCAGTATTCTCCATCAGAATGCCAACTAATATACACTTATCACAAATAAAGCTACTACTAACGACAGAGGAAGAATGATGAACCATCCTGCACTCAACACACTGAACAAGCTAAATGTTTGCCATGTTGAATGTTAAACCTACCTTAGTCAAAGACTGTTGAGATTATTTTAGACAACATGTATGGCCTCCACTTGCTGTCTTTTGACAAAAAAAACCAAAAGTGTTCTTCAGGAAAATGAAAATGTGGCAGAAAATGTGAAATGTTGGATGTGAGAATACAACAAAAAAAAGGTATAGTTTAAACACAGACACAGGCAAGAAACTCACAGAAAATGATTTGAAAACAGGAACTATGTCAATAGAACATCTTGCTGACATTCATGAGGAGGTTGTTCTCCTGACACCAGTTCTCCAGGCTTTTAATCTCCTCCAGGTAGGCCTTCTTGTCATTATCAGAGATCAGTACCACAACCCTGTTGGAACTGTGTTCTAGTTTCCTCCCTTATTGCCGATTTGTCTCCTTCACTGCTCTGCGCATGTTGTAGGACACTCGTTCATGTTTCCAGTGGCGAGCCCCGTGTTATAGGCAGCGGTGCAAGAATTCAGAGCATTGTGGATGGTTTTATCCACCCACGGCTTCTGGTTGGAAAATGTTCTGAGTTTGGTTTTGTGGACTGTAACATCCACCAGCTTCCTGATAAATCCCACAACCGCTTCCATAAACATGTTGATGTCATCAGCGCTATGACTGAATTTGTCCCAGCCTGCATCATCTAGAGCATCCTGCAAAGCAGCCACTGATTGGCCTGTCCAGCCCGAGACCTCCCTCAGAACCAGAGCTTCCTGTTTCAGCCTTTACTTGTATCTAGGTATGAAGAAGATGCTGGCATGGTCCAATTTCCCAAGCGGTGGATGAGACTTTGCCTAGTAGGTGTCTTTGAATGGAGTCTAGCAATGATCGAGGATCCTTTCTCTCCTGGTGAGGCAGGTGATGTGTTGGTGGAAATTTGGCACTGCTTGTTTGGGGATGGCACTGTTAAAGTCTCCTGCCACAATGAGTGCAGCGTCCTGGTGAAGAGTCTGGTGTTGAGTGAGAGCCTCATGTAGTTCACATAAGGCAGTGTTCATGTTCACCTGAGGTGGAATATAAACGGCACTGACTATGACCCAGGTAAATTCCTGAAAAAGGTAGAAACGTTGACATTAGACAGTCAAGAGCTCCAGGTTGGTTGTGCAGCTATGTGTGAGAGGAACAGTACTCGCGTATGTGAACAACACAGTCATTATGGTGGTAGGCCACTTTTCCAAGTCCCTTCGCTTTTGGCAGTTGACTTCCTTCTGTCGTCAAGATCTTTACCCAAGTATTCAGGTACTTTGGCATCCTGGAGGACATAGTGAGTGACGAGGGAGCTCAATTCAAGTCCCGAGTATTGGTGGGGGGTGGGGGGGTGGGGGGGAGGGGGCATTCATGGAGAAATTGGGAGTCTCCATCAGCCTGACTCCTGGTACCACCCTCAAGTCAACAGCCAAGTGGAGAGAGCTAACCAAGAGATCATCTGATTCCCGAGAACATTCTGTGCCGACAACCAGGATGAGTAGGCATGATTACTGCCATGGGCCTAGTATGCCCAAAACTCTCTCTGGCACTCTGCTACCAAGCTCATCCCGTTTCAATCTACTCTTGTGTAGGAAATTAGCTGTTTAGGTTAAGCTGCCCGCATTCTCCACCAAAATATGTAGGAGATTAGCAGATCAGCTCAAAAGGGGAAATTTAGCAAATTTAATATTTTAATAGCTGATCAACTATTTATCCAGCAATAAGTTGAAATTAGTGCATTTACATTCTGGGTTGTGCCCCCTCACTTCTCATTTCTTGCGTCAGCCGTGCTCCTCCATGGTACCAAATCCTTTCGAAAGTTGTCAGGTTTTGTGTATTTTTACTAAAAAGGATACTGACTTTATCATAACTGTAATCGCCATCATAACATTATGATTTCCTTTATATTCAACTTTATTTTTCATGCAATATAAACATACACATTTGCTTGACTCAAAAATAAAGTTTAAAACTAGACATGTAGTTTGCCTTCTCTGTATGTACTTTACACTCCCAGATAAACCTTCATTAAAACAACAGAAAATACACAGAATGGAAAGAAATGCATTAACAGCACTAATTCCATGCAAGATTCACCACTGTATATCTCCATCTCCTTTAGTTAATGGCAGCTTATACAGTGCTCTCTATTGTGATTTCTTGTTAAAAACTTATTCAACCATTTCTTAGTAATTGCCAGAAATAATATGCAAATTCATATTCATGATATTTTTTCATTCTAAAAAAGTGACCCGTGCTTCCAGGATTGGAGACAGTGTCAATGCAGGGAAAGGATCCTCCTCATCAAGCCTCTCCATTCCTGCACAATACTCCACAATCATTTCTTTGTCCTTATGTGAAAGGACAGAATTCCATTTTAGAGTAGTTATAGAGTAGTTATATCCTTATAGACCTCAAGCGTCCCAGGTGGTAAGTCAAGACTTGGGAATAGTCCCAGGAAACACCCTGCCTACAATTATGATTAAAAAAAAAACAGATAGTCTGGAGGTGTTTAATCTGGTAACACTGGTCAAAGATTTCCAACTGAAAAACAACTGAACTAGTTAAAAACCTTTATAAAAACTGTAAACAGAAGGCAGCAGTTCTAATCTGTAGATGCAGAAGGCCTTGCTCACCATCTTCTTGAGGTAAATATAAAACACTGTGAGGTACCCAGTGTAGCTTGTCCCAA